ATATGATATCAATGACCTATAAATTTGTTACATTTATTACATTTAAAAGGAGCAAAGTTATTTTCAGGTCTATAAGCTATATATTTTTCGGACCTGAGAAATGTTAATCGTCCTCGGTCGATATAGCTTTTATCAGGTCAGAAAAAAATTAGCATGACGGAAATATAAGCTATAATTGTTATATCGTATAGACCTAGAAATATGTTTATCTTTTGAAAGAATTTTATGCCGTGTGAACGCCATCATGTCTTCGCCTCCTTTCATGCAGACTCATGACGTCAACACAAATCAGCCATTTAGAACAGCGCTTATATGAACGATATACCAAACCATTTTCGTTTTATATTGAGCAAGGTCTACTAGAGTTGCGCATTATTTAACGTTTTATGCAATCTAAGAATCTCTTAATTATTTTTTTCATAATTAACTCGAACTTAATATGGACTCGGACCGTACATATTTCTACCACTTGGTTTTAGAAGTAAACAAACTTTATAAATTGTATAACGAACGTATATATTCGACATCCGATGAAAAAGAAAGTCTTTTTCAGTCAAATAATTATTGAAGATATGTCTGACATTGAGAAACAATTTAAAAATGCCTACTGATGTAAACGTTATTACAAAATCCGAATTATTATAAAAAAAATTATAGTTCTTTCATAATAATAATATTCTCCATATAATAATACTAACTATAGGCAAATTTCCTTTAAATTGCTGTAATAATGTATGAGGCCTTAAAACATTTAAGTAAATTTGATAGTTTTGGTGTTGTTGAAAAAACAACTAGATGATTTTAATGGAAATTAAAGATTATACCTTTATCAATAAACATATATAACATAGATATATAAGAAAATCAGGTGGAATAGATGCCTTTATAAAAAGACTTAGTCATGCATTGTGAATTAGTAAAAATCAATCTGATAATATACTATGGCTTAGAATTAAAAAGTCTTTGACTAAATTTGATCTAGATATTATATAAGGCTTTCTTTATGTACCGCCTCTATGTTCAAGACTCTATAGTGAAGAAAATTTTAATATTTTGAATCAGAAATAATATCTTTTTGCAGCACATATGTCTTTGTTTGCATTTCCGGTGACTTCAATGTTCAAATTGCAGACCTCAATGGTACCTTTTTGTCAGAATTTATTTATTTAGATATTGATACAGTTAATTTTATAGACCAAAAGCCACAGATGGAAAATTTAAAAATACATATTAAAAGAAAATCACAAGAGAAAAAGAAAACTATCATGGGCTCAAATTTAATTAGATACTTAAAAATAACAACTAATTTATTACGATGGGCAGGTCAAACAGTGCCATTATTGGCAAAATGACAATCAAAAATATATCAGTCATGGATTACTGTAGTTTATCATTAGCAATATACCCATAATTCTCAGATTTCAAAGTAATTGAATTTGAACGCTTATCCACAGATGTCCATGCATAACTTGATGTTTCATTTAACATTGACAAACAAGGAAGACAATTACAAAATAAACCATATAAGAGAAAACCAAAATGTAAACAAGAAAATGTTCAAGAATTTAACACAAATATTGAAATCCAAGAAATAAAACACCTCCTAGAAAATCTTACTAAAGCCGACACATCGTGACCTATGCAAAATTAACGAAATTGCGAACAGGCTCTCTTATAGTTTTCTCCTAAGTGCAACTAAAAGTTTACAAGTAGGTAATAAATATCTTTATTCATAACAACAATGGAAAAGGAAATAAACCCTGGTTCGGATATGAATGTAAGTCTGCTATAAAGGTGTAAGGAAAACATATTATAGATATCCTTCTGAATATGATAGAGTCACATATCACAATGCTAATAAAAATATTAATCAACAATGAATAAATATATCAACAAATTCAACAAATACAATGAAAATAAATTTAGAACAGCCAAATGAATATTGGAGATTTTTAATTTAATTAAATTCATCAAATACATGCAAGCAATCACTACAACCAGAAAACAGATGACCTGCTAGATATAAATAAACAACAGACAAAACCATGATACTTATGACACTGAATTATTTGAAAATATTAATCTTACAGATGATAAGAATATTCTCAACTCTAGAATCACAAACCAGGAGAAAAATAAAGAGATAGAAAAATGCATTAGTCACTAAAAAAAATACCAAGTCAGCTGGAAACGACCAAATCCTAAATGAATATATCAAGAGTTCAAAAGAGAAAATGTTGCAAATATATGATTCTTTATTTAATATAACTTAAATCTTTTGAGTTCTAAGTGTGTCTGTATCATAGTAATGTGTTTAGTTTCCCTGCCTAGTAAGAAATTATGTTTATACAACAGATAATCAAAAGGTCTAATTTTGTCAGGATGAATAAGTATTACTTATGTTTCAACTTTTCTGTGTTTTAAGTAAATTTGTTGGAAAATAATCTTTTAAAATGATCTCAGGAAACAGTTATTATGAGCAGACAGCCAGTCGGACTGAAGGACACCCTAGAGTTATTTTTTTAAAACATTCCTGTAACCAAAATATAACACTTTTAAATCAATTTTTTTAAAGCGCAGATAACTCACTAAATAAAGATGTTTGGCTTATGAACATTGTCATAGTGAATATACATGAGTATAACAAAAACAAAAAAAAATATTTTAAGTTTAAAGATACCATTTATAGTCCCAAAGAAGAAAAGTGAAAAATAACAATTTTCAAATATGCCATTAACATTTATAGTAAAAGAGATGAAAATAAAAAAAAATAAAATGAATGTTTATTATGAATTTGAAGTAAATCCATGAAGAAATAAAGTTCAAAAACGAATAAAAAAAATCAAAGTTTAAGGACATAATTCTAGAAATATGGATTCTATATTTATAAACATTGTCATATTATAATGATGTAAACCCAATAAGAAATGAAGAAGTTGGAGTAAAATATACCAATTTATCGGAATAAATCTAAGTTCAAGGGGGGTGTAATTCTGATAATTACTGTAACATAGTTGTAAACCTTGTCACATATGATGTGGTTGATGACCAGAAACTTTTATTTGAAGTTTAAAATAAATACCTTGAAAAATAAAGAACTTTTATTGAAAAAGAGAAAAAAGTAAATCAGAAATCTTGATAATGTTGCGCACGTTTGGTAAGTATAGCAGCTCTCAATATACTCCCTATAGTCAAGATTAAAATAATGAGTATAATCTCAATACTGCCATCTATCAATATTTTAAGTTTCTTAAAACATTTTCAGTTCTTTTTGACAGATCACAAAATTGTTTTATTTGCCATTTTTTCAGTCTATTTGTTGCCATAGCAAACAGAATTTTAAACATAAGAAGAAAAGAAAAAGACATGTATACATGTAATCTCCAGACTGCCATCTAACAATAAGTTTCATAAGAATATTTTCAGTGCTTTTTGTATTATCAATAGATCCGGTTTATGTGTTGAATTTGCCATATTTTTGGTCTATTTGTTGCCATAGCAACCAGACTTTTCAAGAAAAAGACGCGCATAATATCTAGACTGCCATCAAGCCATATTTCAAGTTTCATTAAAATATTTTCAGTACTTTTTGCGTTATTACATGATCCATTAAATGTGTTAAATTTGCCATTTTTTCAGTCTATTTGTTGCCAAAGTGTACAGAATTTTCAACAAAGGAAGAAAAAAAGTCGTGCATAATTTACATACTGCCATTTATCCATATATCAAGTTTCATAAAATATTTTCAGTACTGTTTGCGATATCGTTGGATCCCGTTTGTGGACGGACTAAAGCATGGACGTGCCAATATAAACCAGTAGGGAAAAATAACGGGATTATCAATAATAATTTTCCAGATTACACAACTCTTAACCACAGCTACTTCCACACTTTGTACACACTCATTATTATTGAAATAATAAATTTTCATGACCAGTATCTTTGCCTGGCAACTAAGTATTCATTTTTTACTTTGTTTCCTTATAAATCTAATATCTAGTATCTAATTTAATTTATTTCCTTATATGAGTTAGTATCTAATATAATTTATTTCTTTATATTATGTGAGTATCTAACTCCTACCTTCATTTATTTTTTTAAAGGATCTTAAACTATTTAAATATGATTTTTTTTTTGTTAAACTCACAGTTTCCATCTGAATAATCAAAGAAAACTTATTTGTTCTTGCAGTAGGACACACAGTAACATATTATTAAGGTAGTGTACCCCTTATACAGTATATCCACTTTGAAGAGTATTCAAATAGGCTAGAATCACTGTCAACTGCATTGAAACTGAGGGGCGTGGGTTCAATCATTATTATGTATCTGACAGGTCACTTTGGAAAAGTGTTTGATTTTAATTATTTAATTATTATAGGTATTTATTTGTTAAATAGTGTCAAATTTAACAGCAAATATAAAACCCGATATTTTCAAAGCTTAATAAAATAAAAAAAATACTAAACGGTTAAAGTATTTTATATTTTGCAAGACCAACCAATATACTTTTAAGAAAATTTAGGCAAACTATTGTGGTAAATTTTAGGGATATTTTGAATAAGTTTTTTTACATAGAGAAATGGTAAAGTTGGTAAGGTGGGATTACATTTTTATACATATTAAAAACATGTTGTTAAGAAACAAACATTTTGCTCGTTTAATTTGATACCTTATTTTTTTTTATTTTTGCTTCTTAACAATGAGCAATAGGAAAACATTTTTCATAATGATTAACTCATAGAATATTTAGAGTTTCCTCATTTCTGGAAGAAAAAACCTTCTTACAACATAGTTTTAGTTAAAAAATGTTCATAACTCATAAACAACACGATTATTTTGTTTAAACTTTGCATACAGGTGGCCTTTAAGTATATAACTGCCCTATGTTGTCATTTCTACAGTTCCTTATAGTGCCCATAAGGGGTGTTCTACCTAAACAGCAATACAACTAATAATAATAATAATAATAATAAATAGGTAATAAAATTGTTAGTAAACCTGGACTTTTTGTCTCTGAATGAGGATAGATCGTTCTTTCAAATTCATCAGTGACTGGTTTCAGTGGTTTGTATGTTGTTGTTTCGGGTTGGACTGTAGGCCTGGGTTCGACTGTAGGCTTGTATTTGATAACACATTCAGGCTTTATCAGATTTCCATCAAAACAATGAAATGTATTTGGCATTTTTTTCTCATAACCGTTCTTACAGCTCCATTCTAGTGTTTTATCATGCACCAAGTAGCCATTTTCAACATTTTGCAAAGACACTGTTTGTAAATCAGCCACAACATGACAGTGGCAATAGCAAGCCAAGTTTAAGTAATCCCATGCACCATTGATACATTCTGCCTGAGGAGGCCCTGTTTTGGTTACTGGCACATCATCCCTACAGTTAATGAAAAGGTAAGGTCCAAAAGGATTTGCATCTCTTATGCATGAAGAGTTCAAGCCCGGGTAAGGAGGGCATGTGCTTAACTCGCAGGTAGGTTTTTCGCCCCAATACCCATCTGCCTTACATTTTACATATGGAGATCCTTTTACTATGTAGCCTTCATCACATGTTACTTCAACAATGCTTCCATACCCATTTCTTATAATATAACTATTATCTTGAAATGTTTCACCATACTGAATTGATCCAAATTCACCACACATTTTAATATTACATACTGGTGGTTCTAGTGGCAGCCAATTCCCATCTATTCGACAAAGCATTTTATTGCTAGATCTCACCATGTCAAAACCTTCATTGCATTCAAACTGTATTGATGTTCCCACCCTATAAGTGGGAACATTGACTACCTTCCCATTTTCTGGTGTTTCAACATGTGAACAAAAAATCTCCTCACATTTAAAGTTTGAGGAGGAGTATGGACGCTAGATTTATAACCTTGTCATATTGTTATGATGTGGGAGATTGAAGTAAATTCTATAAGAAATGAAGAAACTTGAGTAAAATATAATAATTTCTAGACCAAAAATCTAAGTTCAAGGGGGACATAATTCTGGAAAAAGTCAAGCTAGAGTGTTTAACCTTCTCCCAAATGGCTTTAGTAATTATAAGACTCATATATATAATGTTTATAGTAGACACATTATGACATAAAGAAGTTATAAAAAGAAATCATCATTTTTTCATGAACATTCTAAGTTCAAGGGGGTTATTTTGATAATGATTGTGCTAGAGTTGTAAACCTTGTCACATATGATGAGGTTGGTGATAAGAAACTGATATTTAAAGTTTTAAGTAAATACCTTAAGAAATAAAGAAATTATAGTGAAAAAGCGTAAAAACTTGAATCAGAAATATTGACAAGGTCGCTGACGTTTCGTGAGTAGGACAGCTCTCAATATACTCCCTATAGTCATAATTAAAATAATGTGTATAATCTCCACACTGCCATCTATCCATATTTTAGGTTTCATAAAAATGGTTTCACCACTTTTGGAGTGATGACAAACATTGTTATATTTTAAGCATAGTTGTTGACATAGCAACCAAATTCTTCCACATAGGAAGATAAAATAATCTCCACACTGCCATCTACCCATATTTCAAGCTTCATAAAAATATTTTCAATACTTCCTGTGTTATCACTATATCAAGTTTATGTGTTTACTTAGCCATATTTTCCGTCTATCTGTTGCCATAGCTTAACCAAAGTTTTCAACATAGGCAGAAAAGAAAACAAACTTAATTTCAAGACTCAAATCTGTCTATATATCAAGTTTCATAATAATATTTTAAGTACATTTTGCGTTATCGCGGGATCATTTTTGTGGACGGACGTACGGAGGGTAAACCCTAAAGTCCCCTCCAGTTAAACCGGAAGGGGACTAATAAGGGTGATGCTAAATCAACAGACAACTACAGATCTATATCAGTATTAAGTTGTATAAGTAAACTTTTTACCTCAATACTTAATGAAAGACTCAATAAATGTTTGTCAAGAAAGATTATCCTAACTGAAAATCAAGCTGGGTTTAGAAAAAAAATGTTTAACATTTGACCATATTTACATTAAACGCAATCATTGAAATTTTACGCCACCTAAAAAAAGAACATTTTCTGTTTATTTATAGATTTCAGTCAAGCTTTTGATTCAATATGTGGAAATAAAATATTACGTTTAAAAGTCTAGTGTTCCTTGTTGTCATAATATGAATCCCCAGAAAAAAGGTACCAATGAACAAGCATCGGAATATGATATTTCTATGGCTATCCCTTTCTAAGACGTCACAATAAGTAATCCCCAGAAACAAAATGAGCAAATCAATGGGAATGTTCTGGAGTGCGGGTAACTTATACCTACCTGTAAGTAATTTATTATTTTACTTAACAGAAAAGTCCCCAAACTATGATACAAAAGAAAGATGATGGCGTATAATGTATTAATTGTCTTCGTGTCTTGACGACGCATTTAAATTTTGCAGAATATATTCACCGTTATAACTAGAATTGAATGTACTTTCTGTTAGATAAGTTTATTTTTGTATTTTTGAACTACACGATGCTGTCCCATATTAATAAAATTATAGTAAAGTCTCAAACGTTTACTTAGTGTCAATAGAAAATTCAATATTTTACGCCAAAAATTGCATTATTTTATTTGACGCAAAAAAAATCTGTTAACAGGAGTATTCAAGAATAAACTCACCATTATTTGTTGGATTTTCTGTCGGCGGCGTAAAACTTCCAAATTTAACAAATATGATGTGTAACAAAGCTGTATTTACAAAAGACGCTAAAGTTAACTTAAACATTGTATGAAGATATTTAATCAGAATTTATCAGAACAACATCCAGCTGGTTCAATTTAATTTGAAGTTGGTGTGTTTAACACGAATGCTTTTATATCACTGCTTAAGATTTAGCAATGCAAGTTCTACATTATGTCACAAATAAAAACTTTTATGCAGACATATACATATATGTATATATCTGTTTATATACGAATGTATGATTGGTTATTCAGATTTTTAACAAGTTATTATATAGTGCAGTATAAAAAGTTGAGAGGGCGCAGGGCCCGAGCCGCTAATCTACTGTAATGTAACAACCAAATGTAAAATCAAGGCAAAATAAAAAGTTTTAAAAACTAATTGATAAAAATGTTCGTTTGATTAAGATTAAAGTTTATACCCAAATTTACTGTAGCCATGTATTTAAGAAATATAAACCCAATGGATGACAGTGACAACTAACGTTAATAGCATGTGCCACATCACGTGTAATGATTTATTTTCGCAACCAAAATACCATATATGGGTGACGTGTTAGCTATTTCAGATTTTTGCACAGGACTGTATAAGAAATGAGGAATTATCTGTTTTGAAAATAAAGCCTACAAAGTGTAAAGCACCATTACATTGGGAACTCATTTAGAGTTCTCTGTCTGATGATTATTTAGAATTTAAGTTGAAGAGTCTGGAGATCGGGTTCATCATTCTTATATTTTGTTAGGGGTAGCATCAACAGAAATCTATGATGCTGGTGTCTATAAGAATAATGCAATAAATACGCCTGAGAATCAAATATTTGATACGTTTACTGGATATGCCGCCCTTCCTTGATGACCGTGTTTCCGTGCACTGCATGTCCAGAATTATGTTTTATTTGCTTGGAACTTTTCAATTTCTTATTTTTAGTCTTTTTTTTTCTATCTTTTTAAAATCTATTGATGCGTGTGTGCGTGTGTGTGTCTATAAAAGCTTATGAATTTTATCCTTTTTTTTGTTTGTTTTCTTTCTTCACTATCAAATGAATCTATACGGCAGATGAACCAGATATTTCATAAGTACGTTACATTATCTATGCTTATAAGTTAACGAAGCATAACTCAGTATGTAAAAAAACATAAACCAAATATTATGTTGTAAGACTATTTTTTTTTCATGTGGAGCAAATAAATAATTTGCTAACTTTAATTATATAAATTATATAAATATGATAATTACTGAGATGGAAATTAATTCTGCCTAATTTGTCATTTCCTGTGTGAAGTGGTTAGTCTATTGACGTCTTATCTTTCATAACCTCTGATCCCCTTTCCAAATTCCATCTTATTTAGTTCCGCCCATTGTTTCCTCGTTTAGGGCACACACATTATTTTACTTGGGGACCATATGGCGCTTTTCATGGAATGGCACTTACGTGTCACATTGAAGGTTCCATGATAACCGCCATATGAACACATCTGCGGATTTTCAAAATTGTGCCAGTTCATTTTAAATGTTGAATTAAGCCTGTGCTTGATGGCATGGACGGTAGTTTCATAACAGCTGTAATGTAAACTTTGATTACTTTCTAAATAAATACGGCGTTGTGATAATTTTGCACATAATTTGTATCTTGTAATGTAAACTTATTTTGAACAAGAAGTTCATTTAAAACAGACACTCTTCCGTAGACTTTGTTTTAAATTGTTTTGCGATTTTAAGGACTGTTTTTCAAAAACGTAGCATGTAAAAAAATGGTAAAAATGCTCTTTCGCAAAAACAGACATGAATTATGTAATTATATAAAAAATATTGAAAAACTTTCTTTCAAAGAAATTTCTATATTTTATCATGGTGAATTAAAAAAGAAAAAGAAACAATATATGGTGTTAGATTTTTTGTAAACGAGCAGAGTCTATGGTTACAGCATACTGTCGTTTTTAAACAACTGATAATGTTATATACAACACAAATATAAATTACTGTTTCTTCTGATGTTATACGAATTAAATAGTACTAAAAATGCTTTTAAATATGTTCCCCATATTATTTCTTCACTCGACAAAAAACGAGAACAATAAGGAAGTCTTCCGCAAATATTCAACATTCTTTAGATATATATAATTTAAAACTTCCTCGTCTGTATGTTTACTATTACGTACAATCGAGTGGCGACGCACTTTTGTCACTGCCAATTGTGGGTGGGGTAACACGGCTGGAATTGACATCATCGTTGTCATTCTAATGCTAAGCGGAATCCTGTGTTTGAGGTAGCCGGAATTGTCTAACAACTCTCTTATTCATCTGATCCGTTCTCCTATTGACTTTAAGGACCGTTTTTTTCTGTATTCTTTACTTATTATTTATTTTGAATCCGAAATTTAAAGCCTATTTATCCGAGACTATTTATCTGCCTTTTTTGTGAAGAGTCACTATCCGTGATTATCATAACGATGCGCACAGAAACTACCGAAAACGTCTTCTCATACGTTTTTTGTATTTTCTGATCGCAGATCAGGAAATATAATGCTGACAATCAATTTCTGTCACAGCGCTCTCCGACAAACCTAACAACAAGTAGTTCTCAAAACAGCTTAAAACCAGAAAGTAATATTTTTATTTTGTTACAAGTATCCAACAAATTACATCGCATTCAAAGTTTATAAGTAGCTTTGGCTTCAAGAATTGTCAATAAATGCACAATAAAAATTACGCGGATGAATATCATTTTAATCAATGAAAATTGCTCGGCTATTTACGTAAAGCTTCGGAATATTGTGATCGGAATTAAACGCCCCTAAATTAACATTTGTTATTTAGACTTTCTGAAAAAATAAAGTAAGGATGCTGACTCAAGGACAGGGACGAATTTAGGGCAGTCAACGATCGATAATCAATTTCTACCATAAGTTAAGCACCCAATAATTTCTGTGCGTATCACACAAGTAAATCTGACTGTCGAGTTATAAAATATATACATGCTGGACTGATTGGGCGAGAAGATTTTAGACATCAGTGACAATCAACATGTTTACCTAAAAATTAATAAGAATTACAAACCATAAATTGAAATTCTGAATTTAGAATAATATGGTTTTATTCGGCCTGATGTCATATAAGTCACCGTGACCCAGGGGTTACAC